TAATAATAACAATATTAATAATAATAATGATGATGATGATAATAATAATAATAATAATAATAATAATAATTATAATAATAACTATAATAAAACAAAAAAAAATAATAATAATAACGATAACGATAATAATAATAATAATAATAATAATAATGATAACGATAATAATAATGATGATGATGATGATAATAAAAATAATAATTATTATCATCATTACTATTATCATGATGATTGATGATGATGATGATAATGGTAATGATAATGATGATGATGAATAAAAATAATTATTATTATCATTACTATTATCATAATAATAATTATTATTACTATAATTATTATTATTATTATTATTATTATTATTATTATTATTATTATTATTATTATCATTATAACAATAAAAATTATAATCAAAATGAATATAATACCTGGAATATGTTTAAACAATACTGATAATATAGATATGAATCCATTACCACTGGGAACATGCAATGGTCACTGTAGTATTGTTTTGTGAATTATCTTTACACAGAGATGGCTCCACAAGTGCTTAGACATCAAGAAGTCAATCAGTAGACCCTGTGACATCACCACTTTTCACATTTCCTTAAGGTTTTGAGAAAAATACTCTCTTCAATAATGCTATCAAAACTGATGCTCTAATTATTGTCATACACACTATAATATATAATGTTACTGGTATCACTAATAGCAATATAAGATAAAATAAAAAATAAAAAAAGGAAAAGGGTAAATAGGTGAGATCATTATTACTGGTAATAGGCTCACAGGTGATTAAATATTTATGGAACCATCTATGTGTTCAAACAATTAATAAACTAAACTCACAGTGGACAAGGCATGTACTTACATGCCATCTCGATTGGCATCAGGTTAAAATTCCTGATACTAGTACTACCTACTATCTATTTGCATAGCAATAAATATCAAAGATATATATATATATATATATATATATATATATATATATATATATATATATATATTAAAAGCTCAGAAATAAAAACTTACTGTGATATTGTAGCCATCAAGGAATACTGTGTCCAAACAGAGAGACGTCAGCATAAGTCCAAGGAACTCTAGCTTAGGGTGGCCTTTGAGGAAGAAGTGTAGATCCTCCAGCTTGGTTTGGTCCTGCCCTGAGATGTCCAGTGATCTGAGGTTTGGGCCAAACAAAGTGTCCCTGAGCAAGTCAGGTACAATAGGCTTCATGGGCATGAGTCGGTCAATTGGGTCCTGACTGCCCTTGTTTTCACTGATGTCTAGGTGGATGAGACCTCTTAGTTCCAGCAGCACTTGTTTTGTTTCTTCCATACGCAGCACTTTTAGGTTGTACATGTTCAATGATTTAAGGGTGTTTTTTCTGATACGAAGACACTCTACTGATTCCAGTTTACTGCAGTTGGATATATCAAGGGAACTGAGCATATGCAGGTCATTGCAAATATTCAGTAGTGCATGGAATGATAGTTCTGTTCCACTGACATTCAACATATGTAAATTCTTCAACTTGCTAAGGCCTACATATAATTTTGTTGATAGTGTATTTCCTTTACAAACTGCATTTGATGTATGAGAAGTAAAAGTAGATCCACTAACACTTAATGCATGTATATTATTGAGGGTCCATTCACCAAAGCAGCTAATAAGTTCATCCACTGAAACTTTTGATAGGTTTTTCACTTCCACAGATTGTATTTGATGACTTTTTAGTATTCTGAGACCCTTACAAGTTACATTATTAGCATTGTGTAGAGTTACTTGACTTAGGCGCAGCACCACTGGATCAAACAATGTCATATTCAAATCATCTAGGAGGCCTTTTCTGTCCATTGTCATAAGCAGCAAGTTTGCAACTTTTTGGTGACAAAATGCATTGGAGTCCCTGTAATGATAAAGAATACAATATTTTTACAATACCAATGAAGGAAATGCAAGAGCTAAAAATACTGCAATGCTAATAAAAATAGGCAAACCAAATGGTAATGGTGACGAAAATATTTTACATTATCTTATTTCGCTGTTACTAATGTTTACAACATTATAGTAATTATAATGTTTATAATAAAAATAACTATCGATATTCATAGCACTAGTAAAAATACATTTTTCCACCAATTCAAGTAAAGGTGAAATCAGGTAAGGCAGAGCCATCTAGTGTAGAAACATTTCACAAAAAAATATTAAAAAATGAGCAAAGCATTTTCCCCATTTTGTTATTCATTTTTACCTATCGCAAATGGGTTAAATTTCGTACAAAAATACTGAGAGGAACATCCCAGATTCAGATATTTAACCTCTGGTTTGCTTTAGAAAAGTATTCATATCTTAGACCTTCTCACTTCAAATCACAATTTTTTACAATATACCAAGTTTATAAAATCACACAATGCAAACACAAATATAAATACTATAAATAAAAAAGATCACAGAATCTATTTCAATAAAAATCATAAAATTCTAGCAGATGAGCATTACCTGAAGT